TCTACATGCCGGGGGGGTTGTTTTGTAAAGACCTGTGCTGTCTGAGACTCGTGATGTTACACAAACCAACAAACTGCTTTTTGAGTGCAAAGGGCACACTTTGTGTGTCTTTCCCAAATGGATCAATATCGTGAAAAGATTGAAGCCAATTCTGTTTTTGGCACTTTTAAATTTTTCAAAAATTAATATTGCTTATTAGATTTGTTAGAATATTAAAATTAAAATTACACCTTTGCCTGGTTTAAAATAAAAACAGTTTATCTGCTTCTCCATTTCCATCCATCGTCTTTTACCTGCTTCTTCCTTTTTGGGTCACGGGGGGGTCACTGGTGCCCATGCCCAGCAGTCACTGTGCGAGAGGCGGGGGACACCCTGGACAGGTCTCCAGTCCATCACAGGGACACAGAGACAAATTCAATTCATTTTATTTAACAATTTTCAGTCAGTTCATCTGGATGGTTTCTTTTTCCTGCTGAGACGTTTCGCCTTCCATCCAGAGGGCTTCATCAGTCTGAGGAAACACCAAACAAAACTGCTTCTCCCCCAACAGCTTACTCCAAAGTGGAAAAAAACCAGTTATGTTGGTGCTAAGAGGGTGTCTGGGGCACGCCCTCTCCTCCCGTGCCCGCCCTCTCCCTCGTCGACAGTCATGTCAGTTTATTTATACACGCCAAGTCACAACAGAAGTCGTCTCAGGGACTGAACAGAAACATTCATGTATCAAAATAATACTTTAACATTATTTATCTGAGGAGCAGCTTTGAGTTTAACTCTCATCTTGAACAAGCATGAAGGCGACAGTGGAAAGGAAAAACTCCCTCATGAGGAAGAAACCTTTAGCAGAACCATTCGCTCTTTCTCACCTAGCGTCAATTTAGAGTCACCAGTCAGCCTAACGTGCATGTTTTTGGTCTGTGGGAGGAAACTGGAGCACCTGGAGAAAACCCACACATGCACGGAGAGAACATGCAAACTCCACCCAGAAACAACCCCGGCCCAGGATTTGAACCAGGGTAACCTTCTCGCTGAGAGGCAGCATCTCTACCAACTGCACCACCGCGCTGCCCCTTCTCCATTTCCATCCCGTCCAAATAATGATCATCCAAATGTCAGTTTTAAAGGTCAGCGGAGCCAAGTATCAGGCTCTAAACACACAAAACTATTAAACTCATTAGTGTATTTGGAGAAATATGCAAATATAGCAAAGGAAATGCTGCTTGAGAGTTACGTCTTGTCACGGTCTTGAGTCATCAAGGTGGAATGAAATCTTTTCAGGGACTGACCCCCCCCCCCCCCCAATCTCTACATATAATCTCATTGTCTGACCTATTTTTGGTTACTGATGTGTAGTCTGGGTTGTCTGGCCTAGTTTCTGTCCTGTTGGGCAGTTTGGATATAAAAGTAGCAAACAGATTAAACTGCGTAATCCTTAAGACTTTTAGGTTCTTGCCAGGATGTTTTTAACTGTTCTTCAGAGTCCAATTTAAATCTGCTCGTTGCTCACCTCAGCAATCAAGCTTATATATTTTTGATTCGAGACAAAACTTTGACCTATTATCTCTTAAAAATGGCTAAAATTATTTCATTCTATCCCAGTCTAGAAAGAACACTACAGGTGCCGGTCATAAAACTAGAATATCATGAAAATGTTTATTTATTTCAGTAATTCCATTCAAAAAGTGAAACTTGTATATTATTAACCTTTATTTAACCACGCAAATCCCATTGAGATCACAGATCTCTTTTGCATTGGAGGCCTAGGCCAGAAGGCAGACTAACAATTTTTTTATTATTACTTTATTTTACCAGGAAGAACTCCATTGAGATCATCAGTCACTTTTACAACGATGTCCTGGAAAACATGCATGTTTTTGTCCTGTGGGAGGAAACCGGAGTATCGGAGAAAACTCACACAAGCACGAGACGAACATACAAACTCCACACCGAAACACGCCAGGTCCAACCGGGGATTGAACCCAGGACCTTCTTTCTGTGAGGCAACAGTGCTAACCACTGAGCCGTCATACTGCATTATATTCATCCGTTACACACAGACTGATATATTACAAATGTTTATTTATTTTAATGTTGATGATCATAACTGACAACTAATGAAAACCCCAAATTCAGTATCTCAGAAAATTAGAATATTGTGAAAAGGTTCAATATTGAAGACACCTGGTGCCACACTCTAATCAGCGAATTAACTCAGAACACCTGCAAAGACCTTTAAATGGTCTCTGTCTAGTTCTGTAGCTACACAATCATGGGGAAGACTGCTGACTTGACAGTTGTCCAAAAGACGGCCATTGACACCTTGCACAAGGAGGACAAGACACAAAAGGTCATTGCTAAAGAGGCTGGCTGTTCATAGAGCTCTGTGTCCAAGCACATTAATAGAGAGGCGAAGGGAAGGAAACATTCTGGTAGGAAAAAAGTGTACAAACAAAAGGGACAACCGCACCCTGGAGAGGATGGTGAAACAAAACCCATTCCAAAATGTGGGGAGATTCACAAAGAGTGGACTGCAGCTGGAGTCAGTGCTTCAAGAACTACCACACACAGATGTATGCAAGACAAGGGTTTCAGCTGTCACATTCCTTGTGTCAAGCCACTCTTGAACAAGAGCCGGCGTCAGAAGCGTCTCATCTGGGCTAAAGACAAAAAGGACCGGACTACTGCTGAGTGGTCCAAAGTTCTGTTCTCTGAAAGTAAATTTTGCATTTCCTTTGTAAATCAAGGTCTCAGAGTCTGGAGGAAGAGGAGAGGCACAGAATCCACGTTGCTTGAGGTCCAGTTTCAAGTTTCCACAGTCAGTGATGGTTTGGGGTGCCATGTCATCTGCTGGTGTTGGTCCACTGTGTTTTCTGAGGTCTAAGGTCAACACAGCATCTACCAAGATGTTTTAGAGAACGTCATGCTTCCTGCTACTGATTGACTTTATGTAGATGCAGATTTCATTTTCCAACAGGACTTGGCACCTGCACTCAGTGCCAAAGCTACCAGTACCTGGTTTAAGGACCATGGTATCCTTGTTCTTAATTGTCCAGCAAACTCTCCTGACCTTAACCCCATAGACAATCTATGAGGTATTGTGAAGAGGAAGATGAGATACACCAGAGCCAACAGTTGAGAAGAGCTGAAGGCCACAATCAGAACACCTGAGCAGCGCCACAGACTGATCCACTCCATGTCACGACGTATTGCTGCAGTAATCCAGACAAAAGGAGCAACAACTAAGTACTGATGCTGAACATGCTCATACTCTTCATTTGACCAACATTTCTAAAAATATGTATTTTTTAAATTGGTCTTGAATAATGTTCTAATTTTCTGAGATACTGAATTTGGGGTTTTCATTAGTTGTCAGTTATAATCATCAACATTAAAATAAACATTTAAAATATATCAGTCTGTGTGTAATGGATGAATAGAATATACACGTTTCACTTTTTGAATGGAATTACTGAAATAAATCAACTTTTTCACGATAGTCTAATTTTATGAGCAGCACCTGTGCGTACTATTCTTGTATAGTAGAAAGAGTTTTAACACACATACGAAAACGTAGGTGAGTCGAACGGCCGATTTATTGGCCCCAATTTCCTTAATTTTGTGAGATCAGCGATTGACCAATACTTGCATGAGAAACCAATTTTTTTTGTTGTTGTATTTTTAACAATTGTCTGAACTTCATTTATATTTCAGAGCTCTACCTCATGACCAGTTACAACAAGTTTGTATTGTTTCGAGGAAATTGTTCAAGGATGTGTTTTTCAATAAAATAAGATGGAAAACTGAAGGTGCATTGTGACCTTGTAACACCTGACGGAGTCGCTTATCAAACAAAATCGCTATCGGCCAAAATCAAATCGGCAGGTCAGGCTTTTTAGAAATCGGTGATCGGACAGAAAACTGCAAACGGTGCACCCCTAAAAAAGTATTAAGCAAAGCCCTTCTTTCTTGGCATCATAAGTTTCTGTTCTGTCTGTACGTAGCAAATGTTGTAAAAAGCATTGCTGGGTCACAAAGAGTACAAAGAGTGTTCTTTAAGTAGACTCGGGTGAGCTAACTTAGCTCAAGGGCTGAAACGTAAGAGCACTCGTTCACCGTTCTCCAACCCAGGACCGCCTGTTGATGAGAGCCACTCATTAGACCAGTTTGACACAGATGCTTATTTACCAAGTATGAAAATAACACATTTAAATTCTATTTTTACATACTTGGACATTATTTGCCTTGTGTCTTCCTGGCACCTATTTATAGTCTGTTAGTTTAATTCACCAAAGTTCACGCTCAGTAATCCAGGTAGAAATCCAACAATGTTCATTCAGGTCATCTGGATGGTTTCTTATTTTTTATTTTTTTGCTGAGACGTTTCATCTTTCATCCAAAGGACTTCTTCAGTCTGAGGAGACACCAAACAAACTGATTTCCACAAACAGCATACTCCATAGTGGGGTTAAATTGTTAGCATTTTTACATAATAAAGTTGATATGAATTATTTACCACTTTTTCACTATATACATGTTAGTGTTCCAAAGTTCGTGTTTAGCTCCAACTTCTATTTACAGCCTGAAAAGGCTCCTAGAACGAACAGTTCTCTTCCTTTGTGAGTTACTGTAAGGATATTTCTCCTTAGCGTGATTTGATGATGGAGAAATATTCTTAAGTCAAGTCACATTTAAAACAGTAACGGTTATCAAAGTGCTTAAGGAGAATTGTTCTTGGCTGTGGCAACCCCTGAAGAGGGGAAAGCTGAAAGAAGAAGCAGATTGTGGCTGCATGCTTTGCATGTCCTGAAGGAGATGAAACTCCAAGAAACGGTTCACCCTCGTATCATCACCGCAGCAGCTGGCTTACAGAAAATGACGTGTGTGTGTGTGTAACAAAACTTTGAAAGCCCAGCTGTGAGGATGAGTATGCACAAACTGAGCAGTGATGCGCTACCTATCGAGAACCAGGCTCTTAATCATATTTTGTTTTATTTGCTGTGTAGCTTTATGCCAGTATATAGAAGCTACTAAATTCAGAGATGGGGCCAGAGGAAAATTGGCGAGTGCAGATGAAGGTAACCGTCCCACCACACACACTCCTCTTCCCTGCTAACTTGAGCTTTAACCCTTCAACCTTAAACCGGATGCACCTTTTTTTTCTTCAGTTTTTTGTTGAGCACCCCCCTTTTCTTTTACAGAAACTTTTTTTTTTTTGTCTTTTAATTTCCTGCACAGATGGAGATTTGCCTTTCCTGTTTCGTGCGATGTTGATTTCTCTCCTCCCTGTTTTTTTTATTTCCCCCCCCCCACCGCATCACCTCCTGCCCTTTTGCAGCAGCTGAACAAGGAGCTGATGTTTGACAATCACCGCTTCTTTATCTCACACACGGATCCAGTGTCGCCTGCACTGGCATCGCTTGGTCAATGTTTACTCTCCCCCTACACTCTGAATAACTGTTTTCTGTACTGCCTTGGTGTGTGCATCACTTCTGCTTCACTCTGGTGTGAAATCAACTCAGTGTGTGCTTTTATGACTGATTATTTCTGCGTCCCTTTGTACTGCCATTAAAGCTGTCCTGAAGCACGGAGCCATAAAGTTGGGTTCATTTCAGCTCGTTGACCTCTTTTGAACAGGATGCTGATGGCAGCTTTATATGATGCAATACAATCTTCCTCTAAAGACAGATGTGCTGATTTTCTTTCCCTTTGTGATGCGCCTGACACCAAGCTTGCTTTCGAATCGGACTTGCTCTGCTTCTGTGTCCACAGGTGGAAAGTTAAACTCTTTGTCTCCTTTTTGTTTTTGCACTCTGTTTGACTTCCAGGTGAGAATTTTGAGCAGAGTCCACTGCGGAGGACCTTTAAATCCAAAGTCCTAGCACATTATCCAGAAAATGTTGAATGGAATCCATTTGACCAGGATGCAGTGGGCATGGTACGATGAACCACACAGCTCTGTCATAATCAGATTGTTTTTAATGGAAAGGTGAAAAATTGTTGCTGTGTTTGAAATAACTAGCTGTTTTTTTTTAAGATCACACGTTCGTGTAGACTCTGCATTTGAAATTTAAAGTTAGTAATCTCAATCTTTCTCCACTTTGTGATCCTCCCGCAGCTCTGTATGCCAAAGGGTCTGTCATTCAGGACACAAGTCGACTCCAGGGAGCCGCAGTTCCACTCGTTTATCATCACCAGAGAAGATGGCTCTCGGACATATGGCTTTGCCCTCACCTTCTTTGAGGAGGTGACCAGTAAGCAGATCTGCAGTGCTATGCAGACGCTTTACCACATGCACAACGCAGAGCAGTATGACATCTTACACACCCCCACCTCCCCGCAAGGACCTGAGGACCAGCGGCTCTCCCAGTCTCGTCCCGTGCTCCACGCTGCGCCCGCCATCTCCCGACTGCAGCGCTTCAACTCCTACGACATCAGCCGCGACACGCTGTACGTGTCAAAGTGCATCTGCCTCATAACTCCCATGGCTTTTGCTCAGGCGTGCAGGAAGGTGTTGGAGCAGCTTCACCAGGCTGTCACGTCCCCACAGCCCCCACCCCTCCCTTTGGAGAGCTACATCTACAACATCCTCTACGAGGTGCCCCAGCCTCCATCCGGACGTTCCCTCAAGTTCGCGGGTGTCTACGGGCCCATCGTGTGCCAGAGGCCGAGCACCGCCGAGCTCCCGCTCTTTGACTTTGCCATCGGTGAAATGTTTAATCTGCTCGGGGTGGAGAACGTTCTTCAGCTGTTCACGTGCGCCCTGCTCGAGCTGCAGATACTGCTCTACTCACAACGTAAGTCCCAGTCAAACGGTTGGACTCGGTGCTTTCGTGTCGCCATAAGCATCCAACACCACATGATTACAAGTAGTCAAGATGATCCTTTTCAGCGAGGACACTCTTCAAAAACATGTACACGCTTTAAATGGCTGAACGTACAAAAACAGAAGCCACGAATGAATTATTTAAGAATTATTAACTATTAAGAAGATCTAACTGAAGCTGGAGGACATGTCAGAGTCATGATGCGTGACGAGACTAGAAATTCTCTGAGAAACAAACTAAATATGGTGAATATATCAGCCTCTGGTTTAAAAGATAAACAGAGTAAATCTTTAATGGTCTATAAGTTCTGATAAGACTTTGCTTCATTACAAACAGTTGATGCAACTTGTTCTATTTGATGGAAATGTGTCAGAAATCAGTTTCAGCTTCAACAGTGAATACTTCATCTCTTCTCGTGGACCGTGTTGCATCGCTCATTTACATCAAGAATGAAATGCATGACGCATTAACGAAGGTTAAGTTAAAAATAGGTCTGAAACAAAAGTTGAAACTACCGGTAGTTACCGTTCTAACACCTGCAAACGGTAATACAGGCTCGGTGTTAATTTGGTATCTTCTGTTGCGAACGTTGAGTAAGTTCCACGAGTTCCTGAGGCCGATGCACTGATTTGTTTATTTCTGAGTAGAAACTTTTTCCTTTTTTCAAGAAGCTTAAAAAAGTTTTCGCTTGGAAGGAAAAAGCATTTATGCAAAACATTTTTTAAACGTCTGCGGCCCTTTTTTTTTTTTTGGTAGTAAATTTGTAGTTAAATTTTTCAGACCTTAACTGAAACGCACAAAATTTAAAGTAATGTTCGCTGATGATGTAATGTTTTTTGTCTTCAGTCACTGTGTTTTGTGTCTCCTGAGCTTTAACGCTCGGCAAGAATCTGATTATTTGCTCATTTAATTAGCTTTGAAAACCACATCGTTAATCACAGGGCGCTTGAGCTCTGCCTGCATCTGTTAATTTATAAAAATCCAGCTCATTCACTGAAACCTTTTGATAACGGGGGATTTTGTTTTTCTAAAAAAAAATGTACGGAAACAGGCAGATCACTTAAGGATGCTGAGTCTGTGTTGCTGAACTGCAAGCGAAGGCAAATGGTTTACTAAATGGCAGGGGCTGGGAGGCAAAGCTCTTAAGGGAGAAAGCTGCTGTGTTGCTAGGCAACCTGAAGACGGGGAGGATAGTGGTAACGCAGGATGATTATTATTGGTCAGCAGTGACATCATGCCTCTCTTCACCCCCGTGAGGCTCATCACTGCAGAACATGTGAAGGCGGTCGTGTGGAACTGAGCTTCCATCGAGAGGAACCGAGGAGAAATTTGCTACACACTTGAGCAAAGACACAGAGAGGACAACCATTAACGCCGTGCGCCAAAAGCAGAACGGGAGTTTTTTTTTTAAGGAAAAATATCTAGCTTACTTTCTATGAAGGGGGAAAAGACATGTTGTGAAAATGGCTGTTTTTCTCTCGTCATTCTGACCCTGAAAGCACGTTGTGCATCCGTTGTTGTGATGAGGGTGGATCCAGACATAATTTGCATCTTGTGCTTTTACGTGATTCATGCATTTGACGGTGACGAGACAAATCAGGAGAAAAGAGCCTGAAGGGAAAATCTGAACTGACTGAAGTTGTTGGAGTCAGAGTTGTGCACAGATTTGAGCCACAGGGATGAAAGTCAACGCACAACAAACCATGTCATCTTTTATTTTAGAACTGTTGGAAAGTTAAATATTGTGTTCTGATATTGACGGGTCTGAAGCAGCTGTCAGATGTTTTTTCTTTGTAAACTGTATCGCCTGCTTTTTAATTTTGTTTAGATCAAATAAATAAATAAATAAAGAACAATATCAGTGATCATTCTGCATTTTAGCCCAAACAGAACCTGGAGTGTTAAACTCGCCCAGTCCACGGTTTTTAAAACAATGTGTTGAGTCTGAATGAGTTTTACTACTTTGTTTTGAGTACATTTTTAGTTTTATATACTACACAGTTCACTCCTCGTGAGCCAGTAGTATCAGCACCAGTTCCTAAAATGTTCTGGGCGTGCAGCTAGTGTGACCTGATGGCTTGTTTTGGTTGGATATGGGTGATGTTGGTATACTTGGGATAAGAAGCACATGGAGACGAGCACATAACCAAATGAAGTAATGGTGTTCACACTGGCACCATAAGAGGAGAGGCAGAGCTGCTGCCGAATGCACAGTAGGTGTGAACTGCGTGGCGCAGGAATGCAGATGAGGAGGACAGGGCACATATTTGCATGAACACTGGCTGGCTGAGGTGTGACACCCTGAGCTCGTGAGTGTTGCCATGTGAAGTCACGATAAAGGGTTTGACCAGCGGGTCAGCTGGCTGCAGACGGGTCACTTTTCAGTCCGGGTCCTCCCAATGGGGCAGACCAGATGCTGCTTTATTTACCGGTCTCACTTTATGTGTCGTGTTTTAAATTTCTCCCATTAATTTATGATTTACTAAGCTCAAACTTGTTCAGTTTGTCTTTAGTTTTGTGCTGCCTGTATTTACAGGCTGATGTTGTTGGCCAAGGACTGGATAAGGGTTTCTGTGATTGTTACTGGATTTGTGCATCAATTTGCAGAGTTTATAGCATACTTTGTATAATTTACAGTGACATCATCATATTGTAAAAGTGCTGCATTCCCCAGATTAAAAACGGGCTTTATATATTTACTTTGATATCAAAAGCTCTGGACTGAAGGGACCACAACAGATAAGATGTCCTTGCATATGTTTTTTTTATTATTTCTTTGCAGTCAGAAATGTACGACTCATTATTTTCCCGTGCAAATGTTCACAAGAGGATCTTGAGCATGACGAGTATTTTCTTTAAGTGAGGTAATCCAGCCTCGCTCGTTAGGTTACACAACAAGGGTAACGACGAGAGTGGAGTTGATTTAGTTTCATAATGTTTTGTTAGTGCAATGTGTGTCTTCAGACTGAAATCTTTGCTCCAGAAACGTCCTCTTGCATTTGTCTGCAGCAGATATTTCTGTGTGTGGTCACAAATCAGAAGAATGAGGAGATGAACAAGACATCAGCAGTGATCTCCAGTTAAAGTCACAGCCCTTATTGCTGCACAACACAACTGCTGTTACTGACCTGTGGCTTCAAAGAAACACGCAGCTTGTTAAAGTGTTTGATAAACGGCTCTTTAAACACTTTTAACCATAACATATGAACGTATGAGCACTTTTGCTTGTATGAAAGTTTTGCAGTTGAATCATAAAATCCACCTCAAGTTGTTAAATATCAAACGGATTCATTCATGTGGGTGTGGTTTCTCTTTTTAAATCTTCGTGTGTGTGTGGAGCAGATTACCAGAGGCTGATGTCCGTAGCGGAGAGCATCACAGCCTTGATGTTTCCCTACCAGTGGCAGCACGTGTATGTTCCCATTCTGCCCGCCTCACTCCTCCACTTCCTGGACGCTCCTGTACCGTATCTCATGGGCCTCCACTCCAACGGGCAGGATGATCGCACCAAGCTGGAGCTGCCGCAGGAGGTAACAAGTTTGAATTCAATACATTTTATCACCGACTCGTGAACGACTGCAGCTTTTAAACCCTGCGCTCCTGTTGACGGTTCAAAATAAAACGCCACATTAACAGCTTGCAATGGGCCTGTGCTAAACTTTATTTTTAACTTTCTTTTCTGTATTTTCAAAACATGCTTGAAGATTTCAAGACTGTTTCCCACCTTTTTTATATTTCTCAGGGCTTTACACGTGATTATTTTGTGTGTGTTTTTATTTACAATTAATAGAAGCCTCTTTATTGTTGCCAGCGATCCAGTGGATCCTCCACTGCTGACGCAATGGCTCTGTTTTGTAGCTGCTTCGGAGCGTCGAGTTATTCTAGATAATTGGAGCCTAAGCCCATTTATAATTAACTTGCCCGGTGCGTTCAGTGATATTTTAAACCAGACACATTTGGCTCTCAGCGTTGTGCGCGAGCTCGACTTCTCACGAGCTAACGCTCATTAGCACCAAGTGTTTTTCCAGGTTTTTGCACAGAAGTGCTTAAAGTTTAATCAACGTCAGACACGTGGAGTAAATTAAGAAGCTAAACTATTAAACCTACAGACGTGCTTAAGAAAATTCTTGTTTAAAATATTGTTGCATTTAGCTCGAATAAATAGAATACGACCAGTTTTCTGTGCACGAGGCCCAATATATTAAGGAGCGAATCTCTCCGTGTGTGGCAACTCGATTCTGAAACGAGTTTTTATTGAAATGGTTATAAATTTTGTTTCAGTTATGTAACTGACAAGATGAAACAACAATGTAAACAAATAGAACATTTATTTAAAACAATAATTTTAGGTTCCTTACTGTATCGAAATCTTTTTACATCATTTTATATTTATACCAAATATAGGAGTGCATACAGTTCTGTAACTTTAATTACCTGTAATAGGTTAGCTTAGTTGCCTGGCTTTTTCTAAAATAATAATAATAATAATAAAAAACATCTAGGAACAAATAATTTCATCCGTCCATCATCTTTACCCACTTCTTCCTTATCGGGTCACTGGTGTCCGTGTCCAGCCATCACTGTGTGAGACGCGGGGGACACCTGGACATGTCTCCTGTCCATCACACACAAATAATTCAAAATATATAAATACACAAGTAAACAGACTTCAGCCTACCACAGTATATTAACCTTTAACTCAAATAAAATACAGACTTCAGTTATTTTTAACCACATTGCTCCAACATTTGTTATATTTTCAAAACTTAACCTAATATGAAATATACAGACTTCACAGTCTTAACCATATTGATTCATATTTGTGCATATTTATTATATATTCATATATTATATTTTCTTTAACGAAATTTCAAAACCTGTGCAAGTCTGCTCAAAAACTCTTGTGAACTGTGATAATTTATAAACCATCTAAACTGTATCATTTAGAAGTGGCTCCAGGCGATGTGTCTCATCTGCTCTTGTCAACCTGTTAAAAAGACAAATTATATTAAGTTTGTTGTATAACTTGTCAGGTTTTTGTATATTATGAGATAAAACAGTCTTTGAGCTGCAGCTGGTAGCATTAATCAGAGCTTCTCCCACTTTGTTTTTGTTTGATGGTTTATGTTTTGTCACTAAAAAGCCACGTGAAGGATTAATGCACGTTGTCCAGCGTATTAACAGTAAAGTCAAACGCCTGCCTTCGGCTGAGCGCTCTGCTCGTAAATGTTTGTGATACAGCAAGCGATGGAGTGGGCGACCTTCACAGCCCTGCTGGGGGAATCAGCTGAAAGTCTGGCGCAGAGTTCGTTGGTCGGCGGCTTCGCTTTTTATCTTCCTTCTGCGCATTTGTCATATTTCCAAAAATACTGTACCACAATTTTATTTTTACACTTCTTGCAACAACAAAAAAACCGTGCTCTTGTTAAGCTCCGCCTTCCCCAGAACATTAAAGGATCTGATATGACTTTGCACCGACCTTTAACAACGACGGAGCGGGTTGGACCACGCTGTCCTCCCCTCCATGCTAACAGACTCCATTCAGATAAAGGGAGCTGGCTAACTTCCGGTAGCTTGCTGTACGGTGGCCTACAAGGCCAAACTCTACGGTGACGGGTGGACACGTAATGCCATATGTAGTACCCTCGGGAGCAGGAGCAGAAAAAAACTAAACTTAAACACATTTTAAAATTGGTTTATGGGCCTTTAGAATCGATTTAGAATCACCAGGACTAAGAATCCAGATTCGTTAATGAATCGTTTTTGTCTGCACCCCTACTATTTATGTAAATGTTTTGTTTCTTCCAGGCCAACTTGTGTTTTGTGGACATCGATAATCACTTCATTGAGCTGCCCGAGGAGCTTCCTCAGTTTCCCAACAAACTGGAGTTCATCCAGGAGATCTCCGAGGTCCTCATGTCCTTCGGTATTTCTCCAGAGGGAAATATTCACTCCAGCGACAGTCAGGTCAAGTACCGGGGCTTCCGATCCGTCGACGTGGTCTCCGACAAGCGTAACGGCAACCTGGCCTCGCCCCTCAACTCCTACCTGCTGAGACAGAACGAAACGATCGCCAGGCTCCAGGCACTGGTCAAGAGGACAGGAGTCAGCCTGGAGAAGGTGGGAGATGATGTCATGCCATGAATTAATGAGTGGCGGCTCAGACGATCACGTATCGTGTAGGTGGGGCTTCATTTTTAATGAAAGCGAGCTCGGTGACAAGAAGTGCGTTAAAAGGTGATGTAACGCATAAAATGATGTAGGAACAATCACTGAGGGTTTTAAAAAAAAGTTTTAGCATGAACTAATAGTTTTTACCATCTTGATGTGTATAACCATTCAACTCACTGATATTCATCTGAAAGAAAATTGGTTGATTTCCTCAATACAAAACCATCGCAATACAAATAAAATTGTATTTATTTACAATAATTCACAATATTTCAAAGTATTGAACCAATGCTGTAAAAGGGACAGTAATTTTTAGATACTTTCATTGATCCCAGAGGGAAATTCAGAAGGTGCTATTTAGTTTTGTTTAATTTTTAATCTCGTTATTGGTGATTACAGCGTACATTCTGTATTCGGACAGTCCGCTCAGATTATTGATCAGAAGGATTTTGTTGTAGTTTCCTGACACCAGGTTTGCGCACGTTGTTTTGCAGCTTTGCTCTCATTCGTGTTTACACCGATCGAGTGCTGACTGCGCGGCGTCCTGTTGGCACAGAACCGTCAAATGTCTCGCAGGCCTCGCAGAGTCCGAGGAGGGACAGCAGAGTTTGTTCAGCAGTGACATCATTTCTGCCGCTCGCAGCCGCGTTAGCCCCGTTTCACCTCCGTGCACTTTCAAACGAGCACGCAAATGTTTTCTGACGTTTACGCTTCTCCTCTGGTTTTATCTTCGTTTGTTTTTGAGTTGCTTGATATGAAATGGTGCATTTCTTGGTATAAAAATATGAATTTAGTCCTTAAACCAAACTAAAACGAAAGCTTGGTATTTAATAAGCAATTTGTTTTTCAGTGACAAGATGGCGGATAATTGTTGACACTATCAACACAAAAAGTTAGTCTTTCTTCTAAAGTGAAACTTCTCACAACCCTATGAAGAGTTTTACTGACGAGCAGTTTGCTTCTCTACACTTGGATGTTTTTCATCATTTTACAAGAATTAAATTGCATCGATGAAGTGTCGCAGAAAAGAATCGGATAGCTGAACGAGCTGCTCGTGTAAAGTGTAATCTGCTTACGCACATGTGGTCACGTTAGCTTTCCCTGAACGGATTAGCTCATCATCCTCTTGTTGTTCCTCAGCTACAAGGTCACTTTTAATCATTATTTTTGTTTAAATGCAACTCAGCAGTCACTTTAAAGAAACTAAAGAATAAAATGTCTTGAGTTTAGTCTCTTGAATGCAACAATTTTTTAGGCGCACACACACACGGAGTGTTAGGTTTGCAGTTTTATTCCACCCCCTCTCTCAATAGCAGTCTCCTAATTGCTTTCTAAAAATAACTTGCTTTAGTTTCATGTGGATCAGAAATCCAAACGTACGTTTTTTACTCTTTTCGTCAGACCAGTTGTAGCTGTTCAATATGACGACTTAAACGGAGAGTCGCACCGTTCCAGTCCTCGTTTCCCGTCGTGCTCTTCTCGTTACGGTTGATTTTTAAAGGAACAGTTGTACAGAGCTTTACCTGATTACTGAATGTTTGTGCACATCAGCTTGAGGTGAAAGAGGATGCCAGCAGCAACAAGGACGCGCAGCTTCAGTGTGACGAAGACGAGCTAAAGATGCACCAGCTCAACATCCAGGTGCGCGAGGTCTTCGCCAACCGGTTTACTCAGATGTTCGCCGACTATGACGTGTTTGTCATCCAGCCCAGCCACGACAAGGAGTCCTGGTTCACCAACAGAGACCAGATGCAGAACTTCGATAAGGTACAGAAAGTTTTGTTGTAATTTAATTCAGTGTGCATTTAACAACATTTAGGAGCACTGCCTGCAGCTGAGCTCGAGTTATTTTAAATATTACATGTATCCTCAATAGCATCACTTCTCTCCCATGTGCAGGCCTCCTTCTTGTCTGACCAACCAGAGCCCTACCTGCCGTTCCTGTCGCGTTTCCTGGAGACTCAGATGTTTGCCTCTTTTATCGATAGTAAGATTCTTTGTCACGACGACGAGGAGAAGGACCACACGCTGAGGGTTTTCGACTCCCGCGTGGAAAAGATCCGCATGCTGAACGTCCGAACGCCGACGCTGCGGCCCTCCATGTACCAAAAATGCACAAACATCGAAGAAGCAGGTACAGAAAAACGACAGGATCTGAAAACATGTGAACACTTTATATTTATAATCAGAGAAGGAATATAAAAAGTTTGAGTATTTGAGTTTGGGCCAAACTTTTTTTTTTTATTCCTGTGTAAAAATCTTACATATTTTGAAACTCTTATTTTGAAGTCCAGGTTTCTGGCAGATTTGCTCTCCTCTGTCAAATGATTGGTGATCCATGTTTTTTTTGCAGAGCAGCTGCTTAAGAAGCGATCTGCTAAAGCAGATGTTTCTCCTGGACCTCGAATCATTGAGCTGGAGAATCACATGACCGACCATCGTAAAACTTTTGGCCCTTTTCCGTTAACGGTGCAGCACGCTTCGACTCGACTCAGCACAGTTCCAAGGCGTTTCCATTAGTAACGGTTCATGGAGCCGGTCCCTTTTTCAGGACCCATTTCTCTGGGGTTCCGGCCGAACCGGCACCAAAACGTGACATCAGAGCACTGTCGGTCACTTATTGGTCAGGGGGCGGAGTCACTGGTTGTTTGAGAAACTTTCACAACACCCAATCCGCCATTTGCAATAACTCAACCCGAAGAGCGACTGGACTAAAGATTTTAAAATCAACGATGACAACACCGTGGTCTAACGCTGAAGTGCAGGCGTTTTTTGTGCGTGGTGGCTGACGACAAAATTCAGAGTGAGCTAGATGGAGCTCCACCTTGGAGCCCCCTCAGGCTGTGCAGGGCGTCACCTCCCCCGCTCCGAGCTCCGCCGGTCACCGTGGAAGACCCTCCGTGCTGCCGACCCAACACGCGCTCCTGAAGGCCGGACCCCGAGCCCCGGCAGAAAATGGTGGACCGGGACGGGTCTGGGACGGAGTGTGGAGACGATTTTTAAAAACATTTTATGTATAAAATTAATATATTTTTTTTTTATCAGCGGAGATTAAAAAATAGAAATAAATAAACGGTGCAGGCTTTATCGTGAAATCCTGTTTTCACTTTAATGACGATTAAATAATCTGTTAAAGTTAACTCGGCTGAAAAATCATCAAAAGACACAAAATTACTGGATCTCTCAGGAATATTTTTAAAGAAGAGTTGCAGCCTTTAGTTCAACTTTATTCTAACCCACAGATGTACAAATCACAAAACAAGAATTAAACTTTAACGCAAAGCTAAAATAAAAAAATATGTAAGCAAGAAACAAAACCACATATTCAAGTTGAACAATAAAAGTTGACACGAGTGCAAATACTTCAAGTGATGAAGGAAAACTAAAATTTTAAATATAGACGTTTTTGTAGAATCTGGTTCATCCGAGATTTAATGGTGAACTAAAGTTCATTAGCAGGATCAATATATTGTTTAATTCGATCATTTTAATAATCTGTATTCTTTTTAATTTACCGGAAACTTCAAAATAAACTCTCACCCTGGACTGAAACCTGTTTCAGGGTCTCAGCGCCACCAGCTGGTGAGGGGCGTGACGTCCATTTGAACCCCGCCCACTAGAACCGGTACTGAAAGCCTAATGGTACACGACGTGTACCGAGCCGAGCAGAACCGTGCTGTACCGGTACTGAAGGTTCTGAAGGAAGTGGGGCATAGTTCTCTCCATCGTCTGTGGGTGGCAGGTCCTTGCAGTGCATTTTGTGTGTGGGACACTTGCAGGAGGTTGTTCTTTGACTTGAGTGTACAGTAACTTAGTGTAATAGTATTTTTATTTATAAAAATAAAAAACAACTAGATTTTACTGATATTTGTCCACAGAATATAATCATAATATTGATCTTTGGGCGCCCCTCTGCACTGCACACAAGACAGTTGTTGCTAAACTTGAACAAGATCTGCGTACGGGGGGGGGTCTGATATTTTAATTTAAGATGATAATGAACGTTTAATTGACGTTTTGATCTGCCTGCACCTCCCCACTGTTCTCTGGCTCTCCTTGCACTTGTTTATCCCTCCTGCTCCTGGTCCTGCTCGTTCACAGTTTAAAGACCAATTGACGAAGTATTTCTCACCTCCTTGTTGCTTTGGTTCATTTAGCTCGTGTGCATGTGTGCGTGCGTGTTTTTTATTTTTGATCGGCCGTCAGAGTCACTGAAGGAACATTTGTGTTCTGGTCTTTCTTTGAAGAAAACCTTCTTTGTTGCTTCCTGTGATTCTGTGGGTGTTTGGGTGGAGACGCTTCTTTGTTTTCTTTAATTTCAACATGTCCTTGTTCTCTTATCAGCCTCTTGTTCTCTTGACATCATTGTTCAGTCACACTAGTTTAGATTTTTTATTTTTTTTACATAAGATTCAGAAAATGTCGCCAGATGAATAAAGAAGGTAAGAAGACAAGAAAATGAGTCTTGCACAATGGATATTGAAAGTTTGTGTACCCCTCCGTCTTATTTATTTTTATGGACAATGTTGGAATAGAAGACAGTTTTTAAACGACATGACAAACATCTGGCCAAACAACCGTGGATTGTTTTAAAACGTAATTGGAGTTTAAATTAGTGAAAAGTCCTGAAATACCTCAAACTTTATTAGCGTGTTGAGCAACGTAAAAATAAAAATGGAAATTGGGATATTTTTAAAAATAGCTATGATGTTTGTGTCGTCATTGTGGTTCTGGCCCAAGTCTTGGCTCCGTCTTGTCCATTTCTCTTGTTTTACCTCCGGCCCGCATCACTACCAGTGGATCCAGAACCTTCTCCCACAGAGCCCCTCGTCTCTGGAACTCTCTTCCGCACCACATCTGTAATTCTGGTTCTCCGCCCTCGTTTAAATCTAACCTTGAAACTCACATTTTCAAACTTGTTTATTCCGTTTAATGTCATTATGTTTGATTTTAGTGATATCTGCCTTTTACTGTTTTGTTGTTTTTATCTTTGTATTTCTTGTTCGGTGACCGTGAGTGATTTGAAAGGCGCCTTCAAATAAAATTATTATTATTATTAAAGTAACTCAAACACTTCCTGTGATCTTCACAGAGAAAGCCATCGAGATGAGAGTGTCAAAGATCGACCACACCGCCCTCCTCCCCCACCTGCTGGACATGAAGATCGGTCAGGGCCGGTATGAGCAGGGCTTCTTCCCCCGACTGCAGTCGGGCGTGCTCTCCACTGGGCCCACCAGCAACAAGTCAGTGCTTCATCATGATTTAGACCTTGTCCACATGGAGATACAGTTATTTAACAATGTTTTGTGCGTGTCATAACTAAAATAAATGCCGTCTTAAACACGGCAGAGTTTCTAGAAATGCCTTTATTCAGATGAAAACATCGACAACGACCCAAAACACTGTAGTGACTTGAGGAGCTATGCTGTAACGATGCTGTAACGATGCTGTAACGATGCTGTAACGATGCTGTAACGATGCACTAAGAACAGGAACATGTCTGCGTTGGCATTTTGGCTGAGATATGACCGTTTTCATTCATTCTGACTGAAAACATTGAACATTAACATTTTCAGCTGCTCACTCAAGTAGTGTGGCATGTCGTTGTATCATGTAATGGGTAAAAGTGGCTGTTAATGACACAGTCGGCTTGCCATAGACCTCATCCTTCATCCAGCTCGCCTGGAGCAACCGTCAAATCAGCTTCATTTCATCGCGCCGCCTCGGTGAAATGCAGCTCATTTGACCATTGAAGTGCATTTATTAAGTAAAAGTTCAACTGAGACACACCTTTACTATAATTTTGAGCAAATACATAATTGTTTCTAAGTGTTAATCTTGTTAAATTCTTGTTAAAGTCCTCCCGTGCACGCTCCCACAGTAGCCATTTGGCAGCCAATCGATTTTTGGTGCAACACCGGCCCACGTTTCTGGGTTGTCAGCGGTGACGCAGAATAGATGCAACTTATATGGACGGCCAAGCAACGTATTTTTGGATTTTTCCACTTTATTAGACACATTTGATGCGACGTGTACAACAGAAAATACGGTATTAATATTAAAACGAATGATGCTTAAAGAATTTTTTTCAAACTAGAGCCCATTTTCAAAATGGCTGTGGCATCTTAAACACTATTCTTGTGTTTTCAAGGCTCAAACCATAAAAACGTTTGCGTATTCACAAAGAAACTTGTGTGTGAACCTCCTTTTCCTGTTCATCCTCTTGAAACGCATCTCTTGTTCCCTCTCGGCTCGACGGCTGGTTTTAATTCTGTTTCGCGCTACAGATGGGCAAAGAGAAGCGCTCCTGCTCAGTGGAGGAGGAGGGACCGACAGAAGCAACACGCCGAGCATCTTTATTTGGACAACGACCAGAGAGAGGTGACGAGTCATTTTGTGCACTTTCAGTTTTTCAGTCTTTACTGCCCGGCCTTCGTTTTCTCTGTTCATTTTGCATGATCTTATTTTAATCTGCTTTATTTTGACTTCCCTCTTCGCACTTTTCCTCTGAACTCTCACCTTCTCTCATACCTTCTGGCCCATCTTACTTTATGTTTTGTCTTTGTTTCTCTGCCTCTCTCGTGCTCACGCTCGCACACTCGCAGCATGTAGAGTGTTTGTTTCCGGAGCCGCAGCTCCTGCTGTTTCTTGACTACTACTGGCTCTCGCAGTCCTTCAAGCCCTGTCTAAAGTCGGTGACTGTGGATGTGGTATGTGTTGGTGGCCACAGACCAGATGAAGTATCCACACACGTGGTCATAACTCCCTCTGCTTCTGTAACTTTCAGCGGCTGAGCTTAGTCTGATCGTTTATGGTTCTTATGACTCAAATACGGGGATTTTCTCTAAAATAGACTTTTTAAATGTCCGTGTCTGTAGTTCTCGTATTCCACCTGCGTCAGCTCCCAAGTGATTCCAGCTTTAGTTAAATGTTTTACTAATATTTACTGATAGATTTCTCTGCCTCTTTACAGAAATACATCCAGGAGGCCAGAAACTTGGGAACCACCATCAGGCAGCCTAAACTATCCAACTTGTCTCCGTCTGTAATCGCTCAGACAAACTGGAAATTTGTTGAAGGGTTGCTGAAGGAGTGCAGGAACAAGGTTTGTGAACGACGAGTTCATCAGTTCTCTCTGTTACGATCCAATATTTGCTTGGTCACATAGTGTTAACATTATTTATATATACGTGTCTGTTCAGTGCCCGGAGGCGACTTCTGTTGTGACTTGGCGCTTTATAAATAAACTGAATTGATAAAGTAGAACGCACAACTGTGTGTACACATTTATTTTGTTTTCAGCACACGGCTCGTTCTGCGTTCAATAAAGTAAAAAAATAAATTTTATTTAAAATGTTAAGAAACTTTAGTGCGTATCTACTTGTAGGTTTTAGTTGCGTTATTTTATGCTCAAAGCCCGTTAAGAAAGATACACAAAAACAAGTTAATTTGACAATGTTCTAGTAAGTTCAGGTTGTCTTTAAAATATAATAATGTTTTATATCTATATGCACAAAGAAGTTTTTTCTGAGCACAGATTTCAGGCCGCGGCTGCTCAGAAGTCAAACACAAAAGTAAAGGTGCAGACAAGTTTCGCTCTGAGAGCCAACATGGGCGTGCGCCTCTTCTGTTTCTCTGTAGACGAAGCGCATGCTGGTGGAGAAGATGGGCCGAGAGGCTGTGGAGTTGGGTCACGGAGAGGTTAGTATCACGGGCGTTGAGGAGAACACCCTGATCGCTAGCCTCTGTGACCTGCTAGAGAGGATTTGGAGTCACGGCCTGCAGGTTAAACAGGTTAGTCAAAAAAGAAAATCTCACCTGTTGTCACAGGTGGACGTTATTAGACTGCAACCGCCGCTTGCTTTGACTCCTTTCAAAACAAATAATGGCGTGAATGTGTTTCCTCGTTCAGGGTAAATCTGCCTTGTGGTCCCACCTGCTGCATTACCAGGACAGCAAAGAAAAGAATGCCACCCCGGGCAGTTTGGGGCCTCCAGGTAAAGGCTCACATCGTTGAACTTGATAACAAAACTCGTTAACGTCCACAAATGCTCATTTGTTTATTTCCCACCAGGATTCATCCATGACACTGAAAGGCGTAAATCTGATGGAGGTGGATCAGCCATGCCTCCTCTTAGAATCTCTCTGATCCAGGACATGAGGTGAGGAAGACTGTGGTTAAAATGCGTTATTGTCATCCTAAAGTACCAGTGCTGCCCCCTCGTGGTACACTGGGAAAACTGCAGAAAGTTGGTGCATCATCATCATCGCTGTAAAGTTTTATTTTCTCATGGATTAAAAAGAAAATAATTTGTTTAAGCATATTTAATTCTCATTATTTAGTTCAATTCTTACAGATGTGTCTTAATGCACACAGAATGAAATACTTTGACAGTAGCAAGTATTTTTACCCAAACTGTTTCTTTTTTCTGTTTTCGTTCAGTGGCTAAATTAAATGTCAGTAAATTTTTAGGAAATCCATTTTGGAAATTTAAAAATGGAGCTTGTTTAAAACTTTAATCAGCTGAGTCATCTCGCTTTGATTCTTTCAGTAATTTACTTTTCTGCACCATCAAGTGTCGTTTTATTTTACTGAATTCAGTTATGTAAAAAAGTTAAGTCTGGACATTCAAGAAACTTTTTTAGATTTTTCTACCTGCATTATAGAGCGTGCATCAGGAAAGTTCAGTTTAAGCGTTTCTGCTGCGAAGTCTACAGCATCTTGACTTTTATTGTTTTACCGGAGTATAACATTTTGTTATCCATCAAACCTTTTATTTTAAATTAAAACAAAGTTTTACAACATTGTTAAATCAGTAAAAGAAAATCATTCACTGACCAAGAGCACAGTAGTAAAAGAATTAAGAAATGTATCCCCAAAGATAATATCTTAAAATGTTTTAATATATGTTTTTAAATGTATATCTTTCTATAAACTACACAAGAAATCATAACTATTTAATTGTGAGGATGTGTTGCTGTTGAAAGAACATCTGGAGAGAGGCCACACTTTGGGAACCCTGCCGTCTCCAGCAGCTCATTCCCAAACGGCCGTGGTGGTTTAAAGTAAAACGGTTCATTTAAGTTTTAGTTTTTAAAACTTCTGCTTAATAAAAACTGATGAGTGAGATGTGCAGGTGAGGGCAGGTGAAGCAGGACGCTGCGCGTGTGTTTGAGTGACGGCCGACCTGACTCTCAGATTATCTGCTGTAATCTCAGACTTGAGGAATCTGGGTTTGTGTGGAAAAGATTCAGAGTGAGTCCTCGTGGACCAGCGTGTTACTTCCAGCCTAATTACCAGAGCCCCCATGGGGGGGGGGGTCATCTCAGGGCATAACCGTGCAGCTCTGCTCTGTGTGGGTAGACCCTCCTTTGTGTTTGGCGTGGTCATAAACAAATCCATCATTACTAAGTTTTAATAATCAATATTAGTCTGTTTAAAAGAATTAACAGCTTTTCTCACAACTTAAGGCTCGTGTCACTGTTCCTCACACACCTGTCACACACCTGTGCACTTTATGTTATGTGCTCTATACATGTATATCATGTGCATTTTAGCTTGAAATAACTATTCATACAAATTCATCCTGCTGCACGGTTATATTCTACCATGTTGTTGTTGTTTACTCTCTTTCTTTAGGACCTTGTAAATATTATAATTTTTCACTTTTTGGTACTTTATTTTGTACCTTATTGAATGATTTAGTGTTTCTTTTTTGTTCTTTGTTTTTAGCGAGTCTAATCGGTTCTTCTCATCCTGAGCATTTCATTGTACTGTTGACCTTGTGTTGACCTTGTGTTGACCTTTCATAAGACAAACAAACACAACTTGAACTTGTATTAATCTTGTTGGCTCATAACAGAATGAGATGTTTTCCTCTGTTGCCATGGGGATAACAAGAAATCTGGGTTACTTGGTGTGAGTGAGGGTGGAGACAGGCTGGGGGGTGGAAGGTGGAGGAGGAGGAACGTACGGCTCAGGTGAAGTGGAAGGAAATGTGTCTGGACATCAGAGACATGATACTGGCTCGGAGCAACGGGAACAGCACCGACCTTCACAATAAGAGTCCGCTGCTCAGAAACAAACTGGATATAACGGCGATGAGAGGCTTCTTTTGTTGGACTCCAGTCATCATGATTATTATTATTATTATTATTATATTTACACAAACTCAACATTGTTGTCTGCCAACAGTAATAAAAGTATTTTATAGATAAGGTTTGTTTTGAGCTGCTACTTGAACTACACAATTTGACTTGCAGCCTGAAAGTTTGTACATTTTTTACAGTTTTGTGACATTTTATGAAAATAAAACATAAAATAATCTCTGTAAGCCGACGTCCTTTACATTAATAAAAATGGAGGCAACACATTACTTTTACAGTTTAGCTACTTTTAATTAGCGAAGTCTAAATATTGTGCGGTTGTCGTTTTGTGTGTTTGCATGCTCTTTGCTGATTCCTGAACTCGGTTTTATTCTGCAGACACATTCAGAACATTAGTGAGATCAAGACGGACGTGGGCAAGGCGAGAGCCTGGGTTCGCCTCTCCATGGAGAAGAAGCTGCTGTCCAGACACCTGAAGCAGCTGCTGTCCGAGCACGAGCTTACAAAGTGAGCCAAACGACACATCACCGCAGCGTCGCTTCTTTCCGTCAGCATTTCTCGATCAGCAACAGAGAGGTTTCACTCGGGACATTTTAAAGATCGCAGCTTCTCTTCCAGCCTCCTGTTCTTGTCATGACCTCCTTTTTCTTGTGTGAGAACGTCTGTCTCGTGTGAAAGGGAGCTAGTGTCGTGTGTTATCTGGCCATTCATAATACATCCCCTCCTCTGAAGTTGCACAGCGTCAAACTGTCGTCCAGACGGCATGAATGATTCACAGCCTTCTTCATAATTGATACCTGAGTGACGAACTGGGTTAGGAAGCTTTCTGTCTCGCCCTATGTTGCCACTTCTCGCAGGACCATTTCTGACTCCCTAACAAAACTTTTCTTCTTTTCAGAAAACTGTACAAGCGCTACGCCTTCCTGCGTTGCGATGATGAGAAGGAGCAGTTCCTCTACCACCTCCTGTCTTTTAATGCTGTGGATTACTTCTGCTTCACCAACGTTTTCACAACCATCAGTGAGTCAAAACAGTCTGTCGGGATGTCGCCGATTTGAGCTCCCCGAATAACCCGTCACCCCTCCTGTCTTCCAGTGATCCCCTACCACGTCGTTATTGTTCCCAGTAAGAAGCTGGGGGGCTCCATGTTCACAGCCAACCCCTGGGTGTGCGTTTCTGGTGAGCTGTCGGAAACTGGAGTCCTCCAGGTGCCCAGAAACACACTGGAGATCACGTTTGAGGTTTGTGCTGATTCTTTTGTAAAAGGCCGTTGCAGTAGTAGCTCTGTTTACATGGACATGAGCGAATCGGATTAAACGGACATTCAGAATAAACATGCCGTTCGGATTATTCTGAGCCGATTCAGCTCGTTCCGAATTAATTTGTAATCCGAATGAGAGGGGTGGCTTATGCCGATTCATAATCCGAACGATGTGCATGTAAACACTTAATCTGGTCGTTTTATTCTGATTGTGGAAAACCGACCTGACTGCGCACGTGCGACCTGTGTCCACCTCACGTATTTCTGCCTGGCTAGATGATAATATGTCGGGGGAGCAGAACTGGTCGGAGAGCGACAACATTTCTACTAGAAACTTTGAACGAGCTCAGAATGATGTTTCACCTGTAGCTCAGTCAGCAACGTGTCCACCGTCATTAAAACCTGTCCCGGGTCCATTTTGGGCGCTCGGGTTTGTTTACGTTCATCACGGAAGTAGAAGTTCTTCTGTGGTTTTTTAAGGAGAGTTGACCACTCTGCGCACGTCAGTACTTCTGTTCTGAACAAAAGCCCGCTGCATCGTAAACGGATTGTGCCCGTGTAAACGATACATTTGGATTATTTAATCTGAGTACATTTCAATCCGGTCAAAGAATTGTACGCACGTAAACATAGTGAGCTTTTATTTGCTTTGGTCCCTTAACACATTGAGTGTCAGAAAACATGAACACGAAGGACACGACTGCTGCGTTTCACACAGTAAGACTGTTTAAAGGTATAAAGTGTGTTTAAGGTTTAAAACTGGCTTTTGTAAAATTAGCGCCACTTTTTTCCCTCTTCCAAACACTTTTATTAAGTAATGGGTTTATTTCTTTTAGTTTTTTTTTCCCCTTGAGTCATTTTTCTTATGGATGAGAATTGGGATAAAAAATGTACAAATTAAAGCAAGTCATATAAATAAAACAAAACAGCTCTTTGTTTTGAGCACACTTTTAATTTTTGTCCATTTTTGGTGCCTGACGTGATTTCTGCTCGCAGTGCCAGAACCTGGGGAAGCTAACCACGGTGCAGATGGGTCATGATAACTCGGGCCTCTACGCGAAGTGGCTTGTGGAGTACGTGATGGTGCGCAACGAGATCACGGGGCACACTTACAAGTAAGCCACCCTTACTAGAAAACTTCAGTGTCGTGTTGAAAAAGTGGTTTCTGTAATGCTCCGCTCCGTGTGTCCAAGGTTTCCGTGTGGCCGGTGGCTGGGGAAAGGCGTGGACGATGGCAGTTTGGAAAGGATACTGGTGGGAGAGCTGATCACCCCCAGCTCTGAGAATGACGAGAGGATGTGTCGAACACCACCCATGCAGCAGTCTCCGGGGATGATGAGGAGATTTGTCACCATCTCACCAAGCAGCAAACCAAGTGAGTTACTCATCTGCACAACATGACTTCCCTATGAGCATTTCTAAAGAGTTGTGATTTAGCTGCCCTCAAGATATTTGGTTTCCATATTCAAGTTGTCGTGATCTACGAGACAGCAAGTAGATACAACTCGGCTGGATGTTCGTTATGAGTGTGTTTGTAGTGCACCTGTGTTTACCCTTTTTATCTCCACCATTAGAGCTGAACACAGGACAGATTCAGGAGGGAGTGGGAGAGGCCATCAATGGGATTGTGAAGCACTTCCACAAACCGGAGAAGGAGGTGAGAGACTCGCCGTCTAGACGGGTCTAAACACGTACTATATTATTCATCACAAATGAAGAAAAACATCAGTCTTCTCCGCTCCCTCCCCTCCTCCCAAGACCCTCAGTTACAGAAAAACATGTGAAACGCAGTGAAGAAGAAGTGTGACCGGTTCGGGAAAATTGGCTGCTTTTATATTCGTTTTGATGCAGAACAAACATAAATATGAGATGACTGCATTTTGAGGCAGGTGGAGCAGTATCTTAAGTTCTTTGAGGATTATTTGAGTTCATTGTAGCTTTAATAACAGGGTTTAGGAGCAAGTCATTGTTAAATGGGGAAATCCCCTTCACTCTTGTTTTACATCTTTAAAAGACGCAGAACGAAAGAAAGCTGTTAAAAACAAAAACCGTGCTTTAATTCAAAGTACGATTTATATTTCATTGTGTGTGAACGTTAACTACACATACAAAATATAATATACAGTAGTCCCTCGTTTATCACGGGGGATCTGTACCCTGAAGCCACATGATAAGTGGGGGGAGGGGGAATAAATATATATATTTATTTATATAAAGGTGTTTTAAACCCTTCCCACACTCTTGCAATTTTCTAAACAATGTTTCTAAACTCTAAACGCTCTAAAAGAGACAGAATGTCATGATTTCAGCTCCCTGCCTCCTCTGCTCTTTGTCACCTGCAAGCGCTCTTGGCCACGCCCACTTCTCCACACTGCATGGTGATCAGCTGATCAGCTGCAGCAGGAAGTTTATCCTGCAGTGTGGGCTGCGCAAATGTGCAGCAGGTGCTAAATAATTTAAAATAATTTATTTTAAATTTCATGCCGATCGTGCGGCTCATCCATCAATCAGCCAATCGCGAGTCATGTCCACTCTTATTTTGAAAACCCGCAATAGAACGCGTCCACGATAAACGAATCGCGAAGTAGCGAGGGACTGCTGTAGATTGTATACTCATGTGTAGTAATTTTCCATTTTAATCTGATATCAAACCAAATATACCAAAGATTTGTTTAGTTTTTATCCTCAGTTTAACTGTAGCCAACGAGTACACCTTCAGTCTACACCTTCCAGAATATTTCCATTTGGTTTAAGATCTTATTGAGACTATTAAACTTGAGCAGCTATTACGATCGAGTTAAAGCAAATGAAAATAACTGCCTGAGTCGGAAGCTTTTCGTTCACTTCGAATCCTCTCTAACTCTGCACTTCTCTCCACAGCGAGGCAGTCTGACCCTCCTCCTGTGCGGGGAGTACGGCCTCGTCTGGGCTCTGGAGCAAGTTTTCCAGCACGGTTTTAAGTCGCCTCGGCTCTTCAAGAACGTCTTCATCTGGGACTTCTTGGGTAAAGGCACCACCTCTCACAGACCAACAAACTGCAGACTTGAGAGGTTAACGGATGGCCCCTGGAGTGCAGAAATACGAGACCAAACACATTTTAAGAACGTTAAACCGTTTGTACAGTTTTAAAATATATACAGTAAAAAAAATAATTGTATCATCCTACATGTATTCATTCCATGACAGTTCAGTACAGATAAGTGAGGGGTACAAGGGAACTAGATGAAAAATACGATGATCACAGGAAATTTAACACTTCCATGTACAACAGGTTGCACATTTTATTTAACCACAGAAGCAGAGGAAGATACTTTACAAACAAACAGCAAGCAAAGCGTGAATGACTGGTTCAGACGAACACGGAGGCTTAAAAAGATGCTTTAATGATCACAGACGACACTGAAAGACTAAAGAAGCTGTGGAAAGCAGTGACATCGTATAATCAGTGCATTCAAAAGGGGTATGGCAAGCCATTTGTCCATTTATTTGATATTTTTGATATCAAGTCATTTTTTCACACGAGCACTCCGCCTGCTGAGAAGCTGTGTGAGCATTTCACAGTTCATTTTTGTGTTTTGCAGAAAATATTTGCTTTTCTCTTTGTTTTTGTTTGTTATATATTGTTACAAGCTAAACAGATAAACAGTATTATTTAAAAAAAGGGCATTAGAACAGATTTAAAGCTTCCAAACAAACACTAAATAGTTGGACAGTTTTTTTTTTAAGACTTTTGTGAAATAATACAAAGATTAGAGGACACTTCTCAAACTTAACTGGTGTTACTATGTGAATTAGATATTTAATGGAATTGTGTTATAACAAAGCATCGTTGTGATCATTTTACCCTTTAACAGAAAAGGCACAAGTTTACTTTGAGGGCGCTGAGCAGCGGGAGGTGGCTCCAGATGAAAACTGGCAAACCAGAGTGCGCCACTTTTGCCGCTTCATGCGGGCCATCAACAACACGTCCAGAAACATCGGCAAAGACGGGAAGTTTCAGGTGCTCGTCTGTCTCGGTGCAAGGTACGCAGACATTCAGTTATCGTGCTCATTAATTTTACATGTTTTATAGCAGAAACTGTCTTTTACTTCAGGGATGAGCTGAATGTGCTTCTTTTTTTTTCCTCTGTGGTTTGTCTTCCTCCGCCAGGGACCATCTGCTGCATCACTGGATTGCTCTGCTCGCAGACTGTCCGATCACCTCTCAGATGTACGAGGACACTGCACTGGTTAAGGACCGCTCTCTGGTCAACTCTCTGATCAGAGTACTACAGACTCTGCAGGAGTTCAACATCACACTGGAGGCGTCGCTCATCAAAGGTGTTGGCATCTAAAACCAAACCCTTTTCCACCACTCGCACCTGAACGGGCAGATCACCAAGGACCACTAAAAAGAACAACTTAACCTTTTATATGCAGGAACAGACTTGGGTGGGGTTAAAAAACAAAACATTTTTCTGGCTTATATTAAAGCTACTGTCGTTTTCGCCATATACAAGAAGTGCAATGAGCCTTTTCAAGACTTATTTTTATCCTTGGATGATGCCATTAGACGTGGAGAATAAGTTTTCTATTATGAACTATGGTTTTCACATTACTGACGACCTTGTGCTACAATGTTTTACTTAAAGCTAAATATTTTCATTGTCATGATGAGCTGATGACAACGGTTATATTTAAGGGAAAGCGAGGATTAAAACTGTTAATATATTTTCAGATAAAACAGTATTATTTTGTTAAATTAGTGAAGTTGCTTGCTCTGTTAACGTCGATTTCAGTGTCATAATACGGAGCCTAAAAGCAAACGATGTAGAAGTATGCTTTATAAGTATGTGCATGGCAGGGAGGCTTGTTGAACGGGAGCCAAATTGCCCAAGTGAGGATAAAAAAGGCTGTTTGAGCCTTTTCCCTTGAAAGCATACATGTATGCTCTTACATGGAATACCTTCAGCAGAAGAAAAGGTCATCACATGACAGGACTGTGTGATCCAAGCCTGCACTCAGCGACGGTTGGATTCAGGAAAAATAGTCTCGTGTTTCAGACACAAGCACTCCGACATGCTTGACCCAACTTCCTTCACAAAGTGGATCACAGTTTTAGCCTTCAGTGTAAATACCTCCAACCAGCTTGTTCCTCTTACTATTTTTGCAGCCCTTACACTACATGTACTTTGTCTTTGAACTGAAAATATTGTGGTGACCTGAGTGGACCGTGTCGAATTCTGACTTCCAGATTAACAATTGAGGGACTGCTTACCCCCCGGATTTTATGATTTTGTCATCATGGTTTCTTGCTATGCAATATCCACAAGAGAAAATTGAGATTCTACTGGGCTTTTCTCAAAACTTTGCTGTGGAAAATAAGAGATTTGATATGTGATGAACTTCTTTTCCGTGCCAACAACATCTGGAATAACTGTTGTTGTTAATAACTGTTGTTGTATGATCCACACAAGCATCTTGGGAAATATCTGGTTTTTTTTCAATACAGGTGTACATTTATCAATATAAGTGTGTAATTTAGTGTTTACCAAGTGAGCAAACAGTGTACAGTGTAAAAATATAAGAATAAAGGATCTGTAATGCATTACAGTGGACTTATAGAGTTGAGCAGTGTGTGTTTATTATCTGATGAATATTTCTGTGGACAGAAACTAAAGTTCTTCGTTGTAAAAAGACAAGTGAATACCTATTTTAGAGGAACGAGTTGGGATTAATTTTGTAAAATTTAAATAATACATGCATATTAAATTCAAATTAAATTTGTTATGGAGGATGGATTGTGACAAAATGAAACAAATACATAATACAAACAACAATTAAATGTATAATTTAATTATAAAATACACAATTAAATAATGTAATGTACCTTTTAAATTATTTATTTCATGGTTTATTTAATTTTGTCACCTTCCGTCCTCCAGTGGACACCATGAAATTGTGGTAACTGTCAGTCTCGCTCGTCAAACTCAGTGGGCGGGACTATTGCGGCTCGTGAACAGATCCTGACGCCTGATTGGCTGTTCCTCACAGCAAGCCAAATCGACTGCAGATAATCAGAGTCAGATTCTTTATTGTCATTTCCACCTCATGTGGTACATGTGGTGGAGTGAAATTATGTACACAGGGTCCCAGTTACATCCAACAATAAAATGCAAAAGAAAAACAATAACATCTAAGATATGAACTAACGCTTGAACACAACATTGAAACATTGAAGAGTGTGTGTGCTGGGTGAGTGTGGTCCTTCATGATGCAGGTGGCCCTCTTCCTGCATCTGGAGGTGTAGATGTCTGTGATGGTGGGGAGGCTGACTCCAACATCTTCTGTGCAGCCTTCACCACTCTCTGCAAAGCTTTTCTTTCTGCAGCTGTGCAGCCTCCATGCCACACGTTGATGCTGGAGCACAGGATGCTCTCCACTGCACACCTGTAGAAGGAGGTGAGGACTGAGCTTCCAGACCAGCTCGTCTCAGCCGCCGGAGGAAGTAGAGTCTGGAATCTCTAATGGAGTGCTTCACAAAGCAAGAAAATATATTCCGAAACTTTAGGAAGCGGTAATTGTGTTTACGTGTATTTAAATGAAACCTTTTGTCATACCATGAAGGTAAAGAAGAAGACGCGCTTGTGGAGCTGCATGGAGGGAGCTTCCATGTATGAACTGAGTTCAGACCAAAGCAATGGATTTCACGTGATCAGCATTAGTCCCGCCCACTGAGTTTGACGAGTGCGACTGACATTATTTCATGGTGACACAAGGGTGGAGTGTAACAAATAAATCATTTAATTGAGTATTTAATAATTTAATTGTATAATTAATTGTGTGTTTAATGATGCATTGAATATTTAAACGATGCCATCCATCCATCCATTTTCTTCCGCTTATCCGAGGTCGGGTCGCGGGGGTAGCAGCCTAAGTAGGGAGGCCCAGACTTCCCTCTCCCCAGCCACTTGGGCCAGCTCTTCCGGGGGAATCCCAAGGCGTTCCCAGGCCAGCCGAGAAACGTAGTCCCTCCAGCGTGTCCTGGGTCTTCCCCTGGGCCTCCTTCCGGTGGGACGTGTCCGGAACACCTCACCAGGGAGGCGTCCAGAAGGCATCCTAAACAGATGCCCAAGCCACCTCAACTGGCTCCTCTCGATGTGGAGAAGCAGCGGCTCTACTCCGAGTCCCTCCCGGATGATCGAGCTTCTCACCCTATCTCTAAGGGAGAGCCCAGACACCCTGCGGAGAAAACTCATTTCGGCCGCTTGTATCCGAGATCTCATTCTTTCGGTCACAACCCAAAGCTCGTGACCATAGATGAGGGTGGGAACGTAGATCGATCGGTAAATTGAGAGCTTCGCCTTTTGACTCAGCTCTCTCTTCACCACGACAGACCTGTACAGCGCCCGCTTCACTGCAGACGCTGCACCTATCCGCCTATCGATCTCACGCTCCATTTTTCCCTCATTCGTGAACAAGACCCCAAGATACTTGAACTCCTCCACTTGGGGTAGGACCTCCTCCCTGACCCAGAGAGGGCACTCTACCCTTTTCCGGCTCAAGACCATGGTCTCGGATTTGGAGGAACTGATCTTCATCCCGGCCGCATCGCATTCGGCTGCGAACCGCTCCAGTGAAAGCTGTAGATCACGATCTGATGAAGCCAATAAGACCACATCATCTGCAAAAAGCAGAGACGCAATTCTGAGGCCACCAAAACGGATCCCCTCAACACCTTGGCTGCGCCTAGAAATTCTGTCCATAAAAGTTATGAACAGAATCGGTGACAAAGGGCAACCTTGGCGGAGTCCAACTCTCACCGGGAACAAGCCCGACTTACTGCCGGCGATGCGGACCAGGCTCTGACACCGGTCATACAGGGACCTAACAGCCCGTATCAAAGGGCCTGGTACCCCATACTCCCAGAGTACCCCCCACAGGGCCCCCCGAGGGACGCGGTCGAAAGCCTTCTCCAAGTCCACAAAGCACATGTAGACTGGTTGGGCAAACTCCCACGCACCCTCCAGGACCCTGCTGAGAGTGTAGAGCTGGTCCAGTGTTCCACGGCCAGGACGAAAACCGCACTGTTCCTCCTGCATCCGAGGTTCGACTATCCGACGGACCCTCCTCTCCAGAACCCCCGAATAGACCTTACCAGGGAGGCTTAAGAGCGTGATTCCCCTGTAGTTGGAACACACTCTACGGTCCCCCTTTTTGAATAGGGGGACCACCACCCCGGTCTGCCAATCCAGGGGAACTTCCCCCGATGTCCACGCAACATTGCAGAGTCGCGTAAGCCAACACAACCCTACAACATCCAGAGCCTTAAGGAACTCTGGGCGGATCTCATCCACCCCCGGGGCCCTGCCACCGAGGAGCTTTTTAACCACCTCGGTGACCTCAGCACCAGAGATTGGAGGGCCCGACCCAGAGTCCCCAGGCTCCGCTTCCTCAGTGGAAGACGTGCCGGTGGGATTGAGGAGGTCTTCAAAGTATTCCGCCCACCGACCCACAACATCCCGAGTTGAGGTCAGCAGCAAACCACTCCCACTATAAACAGTGTTGGTGGCATACCGCTTCCCCCCCCTGAGACGCCGGATGGTGGACCAGAAACGTCTCGAAGCCATGCGGAAGTCGTTCTCCATGGCCTCTCCGAACTCCTCCCATGCCCGAGTTTTTGCCTCAGCAACCACCCGAGCCGCATGTCGCTTGGACTGCCGGTACCCATCAGCTGCTTCCGGGGTCCCACAGGCCAAAAAGGCCCGATAGGACTCCTTCTTCAGCCTGACAGCATCCCTCACCGACGGTGTCCACCATCGGGTTCGAGGGTTGCCGCCCCGACAGGCATTAAACGATGCATTTCATTATTATGTATTTATTTCATTTAGTCACATTCCGTCCATCTATTGGAACCTATTTAAATTTTGGGTTTTTTTGCCCATGTTTACACAGGTAATTAAATTGTACTTAATGTGCTAAAAAAAAAAAAACGCACAAAAACAGTATAAAAATTAAGGTGGAAATTTTCACAATGCAAAACGATATTTGGTCATTAATATTTAATGTACGTTTTCTCATGTTAAAACGTAAACAAACTCGTTCGCGCCATGTCATGTAGCTGTTTTTCTTTAAAGCCTTTGTTCGAGGTGGCTTCTGGGATTTTGAGTTCATGATAGCCCGTTAACAACATACTTTACCGCGGTTTCCCGCTCGTTCATTACTACGCCTCCCATCATTCATGTCCTCCCAAGAAGTACGCGAGGACAGCGTTGATTGGTTGGTTCCAGGTTCAAACCCAAACGCTGCACTCCTTATTTGGGCATTGTACCCTTTCATCCCAGCGTTTTATGCTAATTTCATTTTAATGACCAGCTGTATGCATCAGCAGTAGTATGAGCATGCGCACTGTGTGAAAAGAAGACGGCGAAGATTCAAAGTTTTTGTTCAGTAAGTACAATGTTATTTCTTTAACACACAAAACACGTTTATAATCTCTTGTAGACTTGTTCCGTGTAACGAGACGGGTCATAATGTGACGAGTTCGTAACTTGACGTGTCCGTTTTTTTGCTGTTGTGAGCGAAATGTGCAAAGACTCGCGTGTCGACAATGGAATAACGTGGAAGTGAGCGAGAGCGTGGCGTGGTGCTGTTAGCATTCATGCTAACGGCTAACAACAATGAGCCGTATTTGGCGCACTCGCGAGCAAAAGTTTGAAATTAAAGGGAAACATCGCGTCTTTTCGACTCCGTGTTCTTTTATAAATCACACAACGTGCACTAAGTGTGTCTCGCGCCCAGTTGGAGAGATGTTGCGTTCCAGACGGCGCTGACTCCGTGAATCGCTCGGTAGCTTTTTGTTTCTCGACTTGAGAGAGCGCAGCTTTTTGTTCCGGACCTTTCACTCCGACCCAGATCCACCCTTTGATCCAGTAACGATCATCTCGGAGTGTGTTTGCGTATTCAAATGACGGTGAGCGTGCTGGCGTGGATGAGGCGCACATAAAGGCTGATAATCGAACTGCGCTGTGGGCGTAACGTCCCGCCGTTGTTCACAACACGCTCCAATTTAAAGTTGGAGCTCTTTATCAACACCGAACCGGAACCAAAAGGCTTGTTTTTGGGAACTTCCCTGGTGTCAGACTTGAACAACTGGACGCGTTGTGTTTGTTGTATTTGTTGTAATTGTGGGTTAAATGTTTGTGCTGCAGGACCCGCCCCCTGCCTGCAGGACCCGCCCCCTCCCTGCAGACGCCTCATTGTGCTCTGACACATGCTCACAGGCAGGATTGCACAGATTGTGTGTTTTTTGTTTCAGTTTTATGCGCCTGAGGCCAACCAGTGCAGAGGAACATGTTTGGCTTCCATAAGTCAAAGATCTACAGAAGTAACGACGGCTGTTGCATCTGCAAGACCAAGTCCTCCAGCTCCCGCTTCACAGACAGCAGCAGATACGAGGAGACGTTCAGGCTGTGCTTTGGGTAAATTTAAAATAATAAGGCGTTTTCTTGATTCCTGTTGTCGCCGAGCGTGTAAACGCTTGTGTGTGGATTGGTTTTTGATTTTAGCGTCAGGGTGTCGAGCTAAAATGACTTCCCGGTTGATTTGTTAAGGCTCTCTGAGGATCGTGTTGGAGACATTTGCAATGCGTGCGTGTTGCTGGTGAAGAGGTGGAAGAAGCTGCCGCACGGCTCCAAGAAGAACTGGAATCATGTAAGTGACGTGTGCCTTTGGTGCACCTAATGATGTCGTGTCGGCTCCGTATTTGACTCTGGCGTGATTTGCCCGTCAGGTGGTGGATGCCAGAGCCGGTCCGGGTTTTAAGGTGACGAAACCGAAGAAGATCAAAAACGGTGACGGGAAGAGGAAAAGCAAACTAAAGAAGCTTCACAAGTTCAAAAGACAAAGTAAGCAGTCTTAAAAACGTTTTCATGCCACGTTTTGAATTTTAAGGAACGGTTTAAGAAAATTGCGGACCATTTTATTTAATGTGTAAAAAAAATATATATCTGAGATCACAAATTGATAGATTAATATAAACGTTTGCAATAATCTTGGGTTGTGCTTAATTTTTTTTTCTGAACAAACTGACGTGTTTAACAAAAAAAAAGTGGCATCACCTTGTGGCTCTTTGGGTACTGTTGCCATTATTTTTGTTGTTTTATTTTAAATAAATTATTTTTTCTTACTTTTAAAGTACTGGTACTCCAATAATTTAATATAAGACAACAAAATAGCATGGTTTAAAAAAAAAGGTGATTTTTTTTTTTTTTTTTTTATATATATATTATTATTAATCCAAGAGGGGAAATATGGTTGTTATAGCTGCATAAAAATAGAAACTAATCATAAAAGTACAGAAAAGAAAATACGGCAGGAGCAATTGTTTTGTGTGGTAACATGGAATAATAATGGTTCGGTTAAAGACTGTTGGCTTGTTGCAGGAGGCACATTACACTCTCAGTATACTGGTCATCGTGAAGCATTTCTCTAGAATATTAGTTATAATTAATTTAGTTTATGTAATGTGTGTTTCTGTGACGAGGTGACTGAAGAAGGTCTTGTGCACGGTATGTGCCTACGTCCGGGCTGACCTGGATCTGACCTGTGTTTATCTTGTTTTTGAAGCAGATTCAGACGCTCACAGCACGACCTCCAGCACGTCTCCTGCTCAGTCTCCCAGTTACAGCAACCAGTCGGACGACGGCTCGGACGTCGAGTCCAAACAAAGACGCTCGGCGCCGTCCATCTTCTCTTTCTTGGATCGTTCCTACTGGAAAAGGCAAGAGAGAGAAAATTAGATGATTTTATTGTAATGTTTTTTTTAATTACATCTTATTATTATTTATTTTAGGCAAAAGGTTTGTTGTGGGATAATCTACAAAGGTCGGTTCGGAGAGGTGATCATTGATCCTCGACTCTTCAAGCCCTGCTGCAGCTCCAAGAAGCAGAAGACTCTGACACCCACACAGGCGTCCGCGCCCCCCCAGCTGCCAGAGGACACAACCGCTGGTGAATTGTTTTGTTGAATTCCCTCCGTAGGGGCTTCCATGGCACCCACCTGGATTTGTCTCCAGTGGCAGACCTCATTTCTGTTCTCCTTTTAGATCAGCTCGTTTCTTTTCCTTTTTGATGTGGGTATTTTTAAACTTTTGTATAGAGCCGAGTTATTTTTTTTATATAAAGAAGTAAAAAAACGACGAAAAAAACCAACAACTTTGGGGCATTAGTGTTATTTACAGGAGAAGAACGCAAATGTTTAAAGTTAATTTCTTTTGTGATTTGCTTTTTTCTAATTAATTAAATGATCGGTTTTGTAAATATTGTCTTATTTTGCATATCAGGACTGCTCAGTTTTATGAAACTAACTGTATATAATTATAGACACCAGCGTTTTCAAATACCAGCTTTGTGTTGAAGTGGCTCTTCGGCACCTTCCTGCAATGGTTTTTTTCTGTTTGCTCTGTGTTTGATGCGTGTACGTTTATTATTTTTAGTACACAAATGGCTTTTAGTAATTAGCAAGTGTCATTTCTGTAAATGTCTTGCTTTAATGCGTATGTAGATGAGACGTTATCCCGTGAGGATACACAGCTTTAGCTTGCCACGCGTTGGAAACACTCCTTTGTCAAATCGGTTCAGCAGTTTGTGCACGTGGACATGTGGTTAGTGTGCACGCAGTACACCCAGGACGAGTGATTTTAGTTTTATTCATGCCCTTTGTAAGTCTCTGAAACACTTCCTGTGTTGAAGCAAACGGTTTTTAATTTTTGTGTGTAAATACGGCGTTGTGGCTCATGGTATATTCCATTTTGTAAACAACAACAACAGCAGCAAACCACTACAGGTGACGGGTTGAAATGATGACGCTAATTCAGTTTGACCACATTTCATTTTCTCAGGCGTAAGAGCGCTCGTCGTGGCTTGTTGCTCTGTGCAGCGTTAACGACGAAGCCCGACATCTGACTCGTGTTTTAATGATTCCCTCATATTTTAATGCTCTTAGGTAAATGTTTGTCAAAAGAAGCAGTTGTCAGAAGTTCAAACTATGCAGACGTTTTGAATGTGAGGATTGCTGCGGGGCTTTCTGTCACTTTCTCTTTGAGGGCAGTGGTGGAGCTTTTTAACCAAATTGTTTGTAAAAAGCATTTTTCAGCAATAATGTTACATCATCAGTCATTGTCTCAAAATGTTTTGTATGCCATGCTAAAACGAATGCTCTTATTGCACAATTATTGCCATGGTGTAAAACTGTCGATACTACAGTGACAACGGTTGCTTTTTAACTTTTAGTCTTTTTTTTTTTTTACATTTTGTAACCAAACTAAATGAATTGACAGACGTTGTTCTGTAAATTTGCTTAATATATGTAAACTGTTCTGCGGCAGGGTCGATGAATGCTGAACATTTTTTAATGATTCTTATTAAAAAGGACTTGCTGCTTCCTTTTTTAGCTGGAAAATAAGCTGTTTTGTACCCTTGGGGAGTTGCCATATTATTTTTGAGAGGTACATTTTGGGATGCAAGATGTGCCTTAATGAATACGTGACCTTTCCATTGTGATTCGTTTGTAATTTATATTTATTTATTACACAACCTTGTTAACTAAAATCTTGAGGTAATTGGTGTTGAGCCTTTCAGAAAGTCGTTTTTTTTAATTTTGTGCACTTCCTTTGAACATCATGTTTTTGTATGCTTCCTTAAATATACTGTACCACAAAGTAGATCTGTATAATAAAAATTTAAAGAACAAATGTGCGTCTGATTTGTTCCTGTGATGGTGGGCATGAGAAAGACACGTGTACCTTTTTAATCAACAAAGTGCACCTGACACAAATCAAGACCAAGTTATATAATCTCAAAAATAAACCTGCTCTTGAACGTCTTCACCGGTCGAAGCAGATGGTCCTGAGTCTGCTTCTGAGGGAGTTCTTCCTTTCCACTGTCGCCTTCATGCTTGCTCAAGACGAGTTGAACTCCGAGCATCTGCTCCTCAGATAAACTTCAATTATTATTTTTATATGTGAATGTTCCTGTTCAGTGCCCTGAGACGACTTCTCTTGTGACTTGGCGCTTTATGAATCAACTGAATTGATCACTTTACTAAATTTCAGTTACATTTTAGACGTCAAACATTTCAACATGATTTGTGTGGGATCCTATTTCCACCACTGAAAATATTTTGTTTTTGCTAAATTAAAAGCATAACTCATAGTTTGGAGACAATATCTCATAACTGTTAAATACTTTTCATAAATTGTCACCTAGAATTTCATAATTAATGTGCACTAAGCCATAATTATGAGGTACTGCCATACAATTATGATATAGTCGCTCATAATTAGGATCTAATGGTTAAGAATTTGACTTTGTATTAATATTCTTGACTTGTTCTATAATTATGACTTTGTATCTCATGTTTGTGACTTACTTTGTCATATTTTGAGATACTATCTCATAATTATAATTTGCTATGAAATAACATTTAAGACATTGGGTCATTTTTAAAAATGGTACTTGGAGAAAGTTTCTCAAAATTATGATTTGGGAGTTGTTTTATGTAGATAAAATGGTGAAGTCATTGGTGCCAAATGCGTAACATAAATTACTGTGTAAGCAACACGTACTTTACATGTTTTTTATGCATCGTCATTGCATCAATGCGTGTTAAATTTTAATGTGTAAATAAGTGTTTATGTGTTTACATAATGTTTTCATGTTGTTTGACACAAATTTAGCCTGTTCATGCCCTTTTTGATTAACTTCACTTCGCTCATGTCTCTTCAGATCTAGGGCCCAATCACCTTTAGCAAAAATGGGAGAGCCGCCCATCAATCAATCAATCAATCAATCAATCACATAAGTTGCTGTTTGTTTCAGCTGTTTGCATTTTAATGCAGTAAACATATAAAAACATTCAGGGTAAACACTTCTTACATAAAACATTTATTTAACGCTTTCATAACTTTGACTTCTTTTTAAGTCACAAGTCATTGATGGCTTTCCTTAAAATGTTGACATGTTTATAAAAAAGAAAAACAAACCATCCAGATGACCTGACTGAACATTGTTGGATTTGTACCTGGATTATTGATCATAAACTTTGGTGTGTTGACGTGTTTGTTTAGTTGTTTATCTTTTTCAAGACTGCAGCAAAGTGTAATAGTTGTTTATAATTAAAAGAAAACGTTGAATTGAATCAAATGACGGCTGCAAAGCCTCAGTGTGGTCTACAGAGGGCGCACTTTGTGTGTTTAACTAATTGGGTCAGGAGAGCAGCGTGCGTTGCCTAGCAACCACTTGCCGCGAACTGGCTAGCTAATGCGCTAGTAGCCGAGTTGATATGAACAGAAGTCAATCTCACAAACATGTTCGAAGCTCGGCATAAAACAAGCCACAAAGCCCTGTTGTAGAAAATTAAGGTTTTATTGGTTCCAGATAATTTTACATTGACACTTCCGGGCTTGAATTTCAAAATAAAAGCCACTTGGAACCAAAAAAAAAAAAAAAAAAAAAAAAAAAAAGGATGTTTTGTAGTCACGATCTCATCACTTCCGGTTATTAGATTTCGGTCCCTTGACGCTTTTCCTCCCGCTGTCGTGTGTACGCGCGCGCACGCCCTCATTCTCTCAGCCACGCGCTCGTTTCTCTTCAGAAAGCGTCGCGTGAAGCGGACTGACAGCGGAGAATGAAAACGAGGCGGACGCTCCGTCAGCGCCTCAGTGCGCGCGCGTCCTCCTGAGAACACCTCCACGGCGGGAGCCATGGCAGCTGTCGGTCCAGCGACGAACTTTTGTTTGGTTTTGCTCCTGCTGAACAGCCGCCAAAGCGTCGCGCGTCCAGAGCTTCGAGGTGGGACTGTAGTGCGTGTGCATGCGCTTGCGTTTTGTTTTCCTTTTAGCGCACCGCTTTACGGAGCGCGCTCCTTTTTCACCCACTTTTTGTCACAGCGTGCTTTGATCGTTCATATAACGTGATGGAACCGTTTGACAAATAAGTCTTACTGGTGTCAACACGTGTTTTAGTGGTTTGTATGGTTCGTTGTGTCAGAACAGAGAAGCTCTTATTAGATATTTAGTTATATATTTATTCTCTGGATGCTGACTGGTGTTCTTTCAGTGACTAACTCCGGTGTGGATTTTATCAGATCCGTGCGCAGAGGGAAGTGATGGCTGTCACATTGATGCTCTTTGTCAGACTACCCCAAGCTCCTACAAGTGCACGTGCAAAGCAGGCTTTAAAGGAGATGGAAACCACTGCGAAGGTAAAGTCTCTTCTCCAACCCAGCTGAGTGAGAGCGGATCTAAGGGTCAGAGAGAAGTTGGTTCTTGTGCCTCCACAGAACCAACTGTTTTACTGACGTCAGACTTTTTGAAGAGCATTTAATCCAAATACCTGATAGATTTCACAAAGAAAGTGTAATTAAATTGTTTATCCCCTCAGCTCTGACTAATGAATCATTAAAGGCGCCTGAACTTAGTGGGCAGATGTTTTTAGATTAGCTTTTTATGTACACAAAGAGCCATTTTGTTCCAATTTATTGAGTTGAATGTTTGAAAATAGCAGTTTTACTGATAGAAATGAGTCTTTTTAGACCCCAACAGTGTGATTCCTAGCTGGAAATCTAATTAGGTCATGTATTTCTTAAAGCATACGTTTTAGATTCTGCTCATCTGCTGCACAAAACCTTTTAGACCTGACACCTCACTTGTCCACTTTTCTCTTTTTTTTTGTTGCAACATGGTCATGTTCAGATGCAAGGTCAGAAAACTGAGTGAAAAGCAGGAAAAATCCAAACATGTTTATCACAAACTTTCTAAGATATCACTAGAAAGTCTGACTGTTTGAAATCAAAGTATACATAAACTAGAATAAAAACGTTCTCAGTGAATACATGAATGTTGAGTTCTGCAGCTGAGCTGTTAAAGTTAAAGCAGAACAAAAGCTACAATTAGCAAACCGGCAGCCAAAGTGAGTAAAGTCACATCTATAGTTCAGGTTAAAACCGACAAGAGCGTCAAAAAATTAAATAAAGTGGATTTCAAAGAGAGTTCATCAAGAATTTGTCTTTCTCCATTTAAATGAGGGAAAAATGTTTAAATTAAGGTAAATATAAACTTAGAAAAACCAAATGTCAAAGCCGTAGCTCAGCATTCCGTTAATACTTTAATAAATAGTTTAAAGTATGCTGAAGTAGTTACATAATACACTTTAAGCAGGTAAACAATGATGTAAATGCTGAATCAACATTCATGTAATTAGGAGTGGTTTGAAACTTTTGCACAGTTCTGTGCTTGAGTTTTAGTTTCACCCTCCAAAGTAAACCAGATGAGCACACTTGTCTTCTTCCTGTTCTCCAACGACTAAACCTTATTTCCTCGCGTGCTGTGTACTTGTCAGACGTTGATGAATGTGACGTGAAGTACAACGGGGGTTGTGTGCACGAGTGCAACAACATTCCTGGAAACTATCGCTGCACTTGCTACGATGGATTCCACTTGGCCCACGACGGACACAACTGCCTGGGTAAGACCAAGCTTCCCCCTAAGAGACGACCGCTCAGTGACGGACAACTTGAATCCTCCCGTCCACTGGTGTAGTCTACATTTGTGTAGTGGGTATACTGGGCTTAGAAACCAAAGTACACCAGTTAGTACAATGTAATCATCAATTTAGTTTGATTTTTAAGCGTATTGAACATTTCTAAATTTCTCTGATGCTTATAGTACAACAAACTTTGTACAACAGTTGGCTTTGTATTAAAAACATGTTATAGAATTTAGGCCTGTCACGATCAACAATAAATCAATTAATCAATTAATCGCACGATAAATGAAAATTATCGACCTCATTTTCATTTATCAGCTTTATCTTCGTGTCTCTCTCTTTCTATTGAAGACACTGGATGACAAAAAGACTCGACTCCGGTGCTCTTCACTGACCACTCCCTTTATCTTTAAAATCCATTTTAATCGTCCTTAAGCTCGTTTTTGGATCGTTAAAAGCAGCTAGGCTGAGAAGCTAAGCTACGAGCTAAGCTAACAGTCCGACCTCGGGGAAAAACCGCCGTCTTGTCGAAGCTCCAAAACTCACGGTTGAAACCCGTGTCTTTGTATAAAAAGTTGTTTTTCTCTGCAAAAAGAAGCTGAGAACTTGTTCACTGATTTTTATTTTAAATTAAAAACTTTGTGTGAAAAATGCTAAAGAGCTCAAACCACACCGAGCGTCCGCCATTTTGAGAACCGAAAATAAGGACAGAGAGACAGCCCATGTCCCTCCCATTTTTCTTAAAGAGACACGCTGCTCGCTCCCTCATTAGCCATCGTTCGGTTCAAATGGTCTTATACTGCCATCCAGTGGTCGACAAAAGGTACTACACTCCAAACAACTTAACCAACATTTCTGCTTAAATTTGACAATAATTACTAATTATTGTCAGTTTCAAACAATATTATCGTTTATCACAATAATTTCTGAGACAATTAATCGCCCAGCAAAATGTGTTATTGTGACAGGCCTAATATAATTTATAAAACCATGTTCAAGTATCGAGTAGTAAGTACAGAAGTATTAATTGTACAAAAACAGGTTGAACCATCTCAATGTGTATAAAATGTTCCAGATGTGTTGACAATGACACGAGCACGTCATGCATCTGTGCCAATAATACGTGACGTGGGCTCGTGTCTTTGGGCACTTTTAAGTGGGTATGCTAAAATTCCCAAGCTTTTAACGTGGATGTACTCCGTGTACCCGCGTATCACATAGACTGCACCTCTGCTCCCGTCTGACGTTGAAGGACGAATGTTAGTGTGAGCTGACGCTTCCCAGACTCGTCTAAAAAGCATCTTCTGCAGCCGCTGTGTTTAGAGCGAAGCAGCTGCGCTCCATTTATGCGCTTGAAAAGTTTGTTTGTCCCAGAGTTTTCTCTAAAGTGTTTAGAAACCGTCCCACTGTCCTGTCCTGCAGATGTGGACGAGTGCGAGCTCAACAACGGCGGGTGCCAACACACTTGTGTCAACACTGTGGGCAGCTACGAGTGCCGCTGCAAAGACGGCTTCTTCCTCAGCGACAACCAGCACACGTGCATCCACCGCTCCGTGGGTGAGTGTCTGAACTTCCTGGTTTCAGTTCCAGCGTGTGTTTGTGAATGTTTACATCCCCGCCCTGCTTTGTATTGTGAAAAGATTCGTGGTGCTGATTCATGAGCACTGACGCAGTCTTAGTCCGTCATTCTGTCGCGCAGCTCAAACTGGACATCCAAACGTTCAGCTTGGTTGAGATCAGCTGTGTTTACATCATCCAGGTAAAAATCAGCAGAAACTGCACCAAAATCATGGCTGGGACTTTGACCAAACAGATGAAGCAACTCGTATAAAGTGCTTTATAGTTTTAGGATTTTACAGATTTTTCTACAGAAGTTCAAGTAACATTTGAATGATCTAAAATTATTATTCCCACTACTCCTTTTACATAAATTATACTCTCAAACACAGGTGGTTCGTCTTCTTTCACCCGGTGAGTCTCTTACTGCGAGATTTTATGGACTTCAGTTTTGTCCATCATCTTTAACCACATATTCCTTTTCGGGTCGCAGGGGTCACTGGTGTCACTGGTGTCCATGTCCAGCAGTCAATGTGTGAGAGGACACCTGGACAGGTTTCCAGTCCATCACAGGGACACAAGAGACAAAAGAGACAAACAACCATTCTCTCTCTCTCTCACCTAGGAACATTTAGAGTCACCAATCAGCCTAACATGCATGTTTTTAACTGTGGGAGGAGAAAACCCACGCAGCACGAAGAGAACATGCAAACTCCACCCGGAAAGACCCCTGGCCGGTATTTGAACCGGCAACCTTCTTGCTGAGAGGCAGCAGCTCTACCAACTGAGCCACCGTGCTGCCAATGTCAGTTTTTTTTTAGCTCAAAATATTATCTTTAAAATTGGATTTTTTTTAAAAACGTGTCCTGCATAAAACCTTGCAGAAACATGACGATCCACATGTATGACCTTCAGAAACATGAAGATGCACATGTATGACCATCAGAAACATGACGATCCACATGTATGACCTTCATAAACAGGACGATCCACATGTATGACATTCATAAACATGAAGATGCACATGTATGACCATCAGAAACATGACGATCTACATGTATGACCATCATAAACATGACGATCCACATGTATGACGTTCATAAACATGAAGATGCACATGTATGACCATCAGAAACATGACGATCTACATGTATGACCATCAGAAACATGACGATCTACATGTATGACATTCATAAACATGACGATCCACATGTATGACGTTCATAAACATGACGATCCACATGTATGACCATCAGAAACATGACGATCCACATGTATGACCATCAGAAACATGACGATCCACATGTATGACCTTCAGAAACTTGACGATCCACATGTATGACGTTCATAAACATGACGATCCACATGTATGACCTTCAGAAACATGACCATCCACATGTATGACCTTCATAAACATGATGATCCACATGTGTGACCTTCATAAACATGACGATGCACATGTATGACCTTCATAAACATGAAGATGCACATGTATGACCTTCATAAACATGAAGATGCACATGTATGACCATCGGAGTCGTCTGCCAGTTTGAAGAACACGGTTTATGTTGTCGTGCACAGCGACTGCTTATGTTTCCATCTTTGTGTTTCTCTGCCTCTCATTAACTCCAGGGAGTGACAGACACAGGTGCGTGGTCGCCGTGGTGACCCTAACGAGTCACTGGCTGCAGCTTTAAAAGCAAAAACATAAATTCTGCATTTACATTATTACAACCTTATTTTGAGATTTTGGACATTTTCTCCAACGGCACCCTTCACAATTATTTCAGAATATATTTGAACCTAGAAATAAGATTGTGTCGGTGGAGTGAGGTCCGGCTCGGCTCGGCCCGTCCCGGCTCGACCTGGCCCGCCGTGCTGTGGGAAAAGACTCTGTGTCCTGCAGGCCAGAATAAGTCCATAAGTGCTGCTCTGGGCTCTGCGCGCTCGGTGTCACAGATTAGTCTGGAGTGTCTTTGTTTCGTCGTCTCCCTAAATGCGAGTCCTTTCCGCTCCATCGGGTCTCGACAGCCTTTGTAAATCCTGCGGACCGGACCACTCAGCTGTGACCCGTCTGCAGAAGCTGCTCCTCCTCTCAAAGCAGGATCGAGTGGGTTGTCGACGGAGGGGCAGTTTGTGGTGTTTTCTTTTCAGGCAAACTTGGTTCTGCTTGCAGAATAGTATAAAGTTGCCTGAGTAAGAGGCCGCTGGATGTTTTTGGGCTGAGAACAATCCGTGTCTTTTCTTTGAGGACGCCGCTCTAATCTGTCGGTGTGCGTGCCTTTGTGTGGAGCTGCTCGGTCACCGCAGGAGTTTCATTGTGCGCCTCTTTCTGTCCCAGAGGGCCTCAGCTGTATGAACAAGGAGCACGGCTGCGCCCACATCTGCAAGGAGAGTCCCAAAGGGGGCGTGGCCTGTGAGTGCCGTCCAGGGTTCGAACTGGCCAGAAACCAGAGGGACTGCATTCGTAAGTGCGCTGGAGTGAAGCTGAAGGGACGCAGCACGCTTTCTGACACGTTCCCACCCTGATCACTTGCCTTGCCTGTCGTTTGCGTGGCAGTAACCTGTAACCACGGCAACGGAGGCTGCCAGCACACCTGCGAGGACACGGAGGACGGCCCCATATGCAGGTGTCACGTCAGGTACACGCTGCAGCCCGACAAGGAGGCATGTGTAGGTAAGCACACTGGAAACAGGGACGTTTGTCCTGCAGGGTGTTGTCCGGCGAGACGTTTGTCCTCGTACGGTCATTTTCAACCTTTCTGCGAGCAGGAAATAATCTGATGAAGCCGCTGATTTTTGAACTCCTGGTTTCAGGTGAGAACAAAGCTGCAAGTTGGTCTGAGTGAAATGGCTCCGGTCGAGCTTTAGTTTATAATTTATGGCTCCGGTCGAGCAGGCCTTTAGATAAACCCTCAGCCGTAAAGAGATTTTTGTCTTTTTGCTGCTGCAGCTTTTCTTGTAACTCAAAATGTTTCGTTTTATTTCCCGTCTCTTTGAGGCAGAGGACGTCACGCGTCCATCGGCGTGGCAGCGCGCACGTTGTTGGCCCGAGAAAACTAAACTAATTCGTTCGTTCCACCTTTATTTAATGGCGCCAATCAAAGTGTGGAAATTTAACGTTTCACACCAGAATGACATTTTTAAGAAACAGTTAAGTTTTGATAATTATCTGATAGAACGTGACTTTTAAAACGACCGAACTATCTCTTTAAAGAAAGGAAGAAGTCTTTAAGTCCAGGTTTGTGTTTTAAAACTTTAAACACTGACACGGTCGAGAAAATAACTTAAAAAAAGATTATTTATTTTTATTATTATTATTTTTATTTATTTAGACAAATTTGTTTAGATAAATTCATTAAGAAACCTGGACGCGTGTTTTTAAATTGAGCTTCTTAAGAAGGTTATCGTCATGCCTATTCACCCTATTTTAATGATTATAATAGTAATAAATAAAACCATTAGAGTTATAATAGTTGTTTTTGTTTGTTTTTAGTATTTTGGGGTTATACATTACAGCGTAACTGAACGCTTCTTACATTAAAGTGCAGTTTTTTCACATCTTATTCATGTGTTCATGCCTCGTTTGAGTAAATAAGCTATTAATAGTAATAATTATTGTTTCCCACATTTTAAAGCTTCAGTGAAGAGAAAAAAACAAGCGCTTTATTCAAAATGCTGTCATTTTAAAAAAATTCTGTAAACATTAAAAAACTCTGGATGTTGTTCCAGTGTTTTTATATTGAAGTTATTTTATTTCTGAATGGATTTGTTTAATACTGACAATGAATTATATCTGAACGAATCATGAGCTGTCAGACGTTGTGTGTGTGTGTGTGTGTGTGTGTGTGTGTGTGTGTGTGTGTGTGT